GAGCGTTTGAATTCGCTCCCTTCTGAGGAGTTGGATTCCTCGCTCTGTGGGCTGTTCTCGTGGTAGTGTTTAGCAGTGTTCCCCTTTATCAAATCATCTATGAGCACGCTACTCCTTTCTGAATTCGGAGTTCTCCTCTCACGTGAGAGTTGAGTTCTCTGTTTTCCCAGAGCACCTGGAACCAGCAGCATCAGGCGAACTAGGCCCTTCCTCCGCCTCTCTGATGCGCTGAGTTTTTGGCTCATTGAGAGCTGGGTGTTGTGCTCCCTCAGCTAAGGTAACTTACTACTAGCCGTTCCAGCATTGGAACATGCTGTAGGTTGAGCCCCTCTCTCGTTTGAGAACTGGGTGCGTTGCTCCCTCAGCTAAGTAACTGCTAGGTGTTCCAGCATTGGAGCATGCTGTAGGTCGAGCCCCCTCTCGATTGAGAGCTGGGTGTTTGCTCCCTCAGCTAGAGATTTACTGCTAGCCACTCCAGCATTATAGCTTAGATTGAATTGATGACCTCTCAAACAGAGGGTCATCAATGTTTTGGTTAGTGTTTTGGGATGCACCATTTCCATCTATGGGCTGCTCTTCAGAGTACCACGAGGGCCCCTTAGAACGGTATTTTTAAATCCAAGTTATGGTAAGTGCGCACATGAAGTCTTCGTACACTTTCTAAAATCCACACTGTGGTAAGTTCGCACGCTAGTACTTCGTGTTCTTTCTAAAATCCTGTATGGTGAGGGCTTCGCGCGGCAGCTTCGTGCCCTTTCTTGAGCTGGTTAAGCCCCGGTTCCACCTTGGGCACCACTCCACCTAGTATCCTCCGGGGACCCACTTTTAACAGGGTATTTATACTATAGTCGCACCGGTAGTGACGTCATGGCTGTCGCCGGCCAACGTGTTGTTGGTGTTTTTTCAATTTATGCTTCCGACACGGGTCATGACGAGGTGTTCCCCATAGCGACCCCTAGAGGACGCAGTGTCTCGTTCCCTACTCAGGGAACCATGGTTACATATGTAACCTGAGACGTTTCTGGCTGCTGCCAGAGTTCGTGGCAGCTGCCACGGTCTTTCTCGCCATTTCTGCTGTTTGCTCGGTAAGAACTACACTGTTCTCAGTGGCGTGCGGTGGTGTTTTTTTTAATGATGATGCAAAGTTCCCACAATTGTACTTTTTTTCGGTCTTTCTCGCCATTTCTGCTGTTTGCTCGGTAAGAACTACACTGTTCTCAGTGGCGTGCGGTGGTGTTTTTTTAAATGATGATGCAAAGTTCCCACAATTGTACTATTATTATTATTATTATTATTATAAATTTTTATGTATCAGCTGCCAGAGATAGTGCCAGGAGTCACGATCGTTTGTCGCCGTTTCTGCTGTAAACTACACTTTGTTTTTAAATAAAATATTTGATGATGCATATTATATACCAGTAAGATGCGATCAGAATGTGAACCCAATAAGCTAAATTGCATAAGCATTTTCCCATAAAGAACACACATAAGAGTGTCCAGCCGCCACTAGCCAATACTGTACGCACACACAAACATTTATTTATTTATTTAATGTAACACTTCAGTTATTAACTAGTTGCTTGCACATTACTATATTAGCTGTTTATTAGTACTCATAAAGCACATACTAATGCCTTATTATGCGTGACCATATTCTACATCTTAGCCTACAGTAATTAATAGTTTATTTAGGCAAAAGTCAATAGTTCTCAATAGTGAGAATTGGACCCAAAACTAAAGTGTGACCATATTTGTGTGTGTATATATATTAAAATAATCATGAGAACATTTTAATTGAGACACTTAAGTTTTTATGTATTTTTATCATTGATTGATTTTTTTTATTTATGATCCTGAAGGATGACTTATTCTTCCTCAAATCTGGCGAAGATTTTGTACTTTGCTGTATCAACCATTTCTGTGCAGAACACCTCATAATCTTTTTGTTTCCCAAATACAAAAGTGAACAGTTCGGCTGGAGAACTTTCGTCATATTCACCCATCCAGCTCTGCAATTTGCATTGGGATGCAATTTGTTGCTCCTTTTCCATTGAAAGGACAATGGGAAATTGTATTTTTCCATCCCAGTTTCTCTTGCTACACCAGTCAGCTGCAGTCCTGGCGTCTCTCAGAAGAAGGATTTCCTGCAGTAAATAACAAATATGGTCAAATTATTTCATGTATACTGATGTTAATGCTTCAAACGTGTAGAGTACATAAAGCTGTTACAACATTTTTAAGAAATATATGATCTTTTGTTATAATGAATGCTGTCTATCAGTTCTTGTGTCATTTAAGACCTTAATGGATCTTAATCAAATCCAGTTCCTTCAGAATTAATTCATTTAACTGTTATGTATCATTTATCAGGAATCCCACAGATATTTTCCAGATATTTTATATTACAAAAATGTTATGTATAATTTATCAGGAATCTCACAGTTATTTGCCAGATATTTTATATTACAAAAATGTTATTTCATTCGTGTACCATGTTTATATTACTCTCCATTTTTATTATTTTCATGACATATGTAAATTATGTACAATGCATGTAAAATAATCAGCAAAAACATACAAAGCAAAGTCTCAAGGATCATAATTTAAGATGAATGAATTTCTGATGTTTGTGTGCTGTACGGCTTCTGCCATCAGTCTTTGCCTGCCATCAGTTAAGACAAGGGAGGCAGAGTCTCTTTAGAGAAAACAAAAACTGGATGAGAAAATATCGATATTACAAAAAAATACAACGCAAGTATTACAAAATGTGACATTAAAAAGTGTAAAATTCACTAGTTTTTATAAAGTAACTGTCCAACAGCGACACCCGCTGGTAAAGGTAAAAAGAACAGCTGAACATCAGTTGACAAATAAAATATATTGTTTGTATTGTTACTGCCTTTTGTTATTATTTTGGAATAAATGTAAAAATACGTAAAAACACTAACTTGATTAGATTTATTGGTTTTGATAAACAGAATATTACATAGTGTAAAAATACAAAATATAATTGTATTTGGCATTTTTAATGTAATGTTTATTTAATGCAGGGAATTGTGACAACAGTAAGGCATGAAGACCACAAGTGTGTGTAGAACTTTTCATTACCTGATGGGACACACTATAGTGTTGTAAAACCAGTGTTCGAACTATACCGTGGACTTTGGGGAAGCCCACTTGTTATTTTTTTTGTAACCGGGGGGAGGGGGTGGGGGGCTTACAATGACTTACAAAGATACATAACAGGTACAAGTGTATGCACTACTTGCTTTATGCAAGTGCTATATAGGATAAATCACTATACAGGATTTACCCTATTATACTTTATCGACACGAATTGATAGGTGAAACAACAAACAGCCACCCACAAATAGTCTAAAGTTACTCGTCGTCAGGCTACAGAAGAATACCATAATTCCTCCGTTCAATTAGGCCTAAGACATCGAGAGTCACGCAGACCTATAACAACCCAGCCACAACACATAATTGCGAATAACATGCCTTACCTTAACACAGAATCGACCACAGAGGCCAACGTTTATATTTTTTCTACGAATCTTTGAGTTAACATGTACTAAACATGAGTGGAATTTGC